TAACCTGCAAAGGCTCCCCACTGCCCCTCACGATTCCTCCGACCTCAAGTCCCACTATCTCCCCTCACCGTCCTGATTGCTCCTGGAACGCAACAGGCGCGCTCTCACCTCCGGGCCTTTGCACTGGCTGTGCTTCTGCCGGGTGCACCGTTCTCCTAGACACGGGGGCGTTCTTCCTCATGTCTTTCAATTCTTTCAAAATGTCTAATCTATTGAGATGCCCTCCTCACTAGCACTATTTTCACCTAATAAACTGTTGGGTCAGCTCCACAGCAGATGGGATGTTTGTATTTTGTTTCCGGCTAGACTCATAACCGTGCCTGGCACACGGGCATTCCCTAAACAACTGTTGAATGAATACAGACAAGAGACCCATTCCTGGATCAAAGGAGGTCCCGGCCCAATCATGCATTTCTTTCTTTCTCTACTCATCAAATATCCATTGAGCACCTGGCTGCAAGGACACAGCATGGGAAACGACAGTGAAAAGGGTGGTCTGAAATACTACTCTCTGGCCGGAGCAAACACAGATGGGTTCAGACACCGCTAGTTGCTTGAGGTTGAGCCAGAGGATGGAACCCTAAGGTGGCCCTGGCTCTTCCTGGGGACACAGTCAGAGCTTCCGAGGGGAGAGGGCATTAGCCAGGGTGTTGAGGAAATAAAAAGTGCCGCCCATGAGTAAAGGGTCTTGAGTGGCCCTGACCGATTTGGCTCAGTAGATGGAACGTCGGCCTGCGGACTGAAGGGTCCCAGGTTCGATTCCAGTCAAGGGCATGTACCTTGGTTGCGGGCACATCCCCGGTGGGAGGTGTGCAGGAGGCAGCTGATTGATGTTTCTCTCTCACTGATGTTTCTGACTCTCTATCTCTCTCCCTTCCTCTCTGTAAAAAATCAATTTTATATATATATAATTTTTTAAAGGTCTTCAATGTAAGAGGGTAAGGAAGGAGAGGGATTTGTCTGCCAGCCAGTGTCTTGTCTCCCGAAAGGCTCAGGGGGCGATTCCTGTTCTGACCACCAGAGTGCGCACTGGCCCCATCACTGGGAATCCAGGAACTCTCAGATCCAGGGAGGAGTAGATCCTTTGCCTAAAACTCTCATGCCCAGCTACTGGCTCACTTCACCCGACGACATTCATTCTTTAATTCTGCAGAAGTGTATGAAGTACCACCCAAGAGGCCTTGGAGCCAGTAGGCTCATGTTCAAATCTCACAAACCACACTGGCTGTGTGACCCTGGGCAAGTTGCTTAACCTCTCTGGGCAGGTGGCAGAAACTGCCTCCCAGAGCTTAGATGAGACTTGGGACACACATGGGTAGCCACAGCACCTCCTTGGTCTTCAGTGGGCCCTGCTGCCTGCCCTGAGGTCATCTGCCCCTCACCCATTCCCTCTCTAGCTCAGCCTCATTGGCCCCTTTGGGGTACGCCCAGCTGGATCTCACCTCAAGGCCTTTGCATGGGCATGCCTTCTGCTGGGAGTGCCCTTTCCACTGTCCCTTCTCAGGAGATTGTCCCCACCCCTTCATGGGGGAGCCCCATCCCCCAATGCATCCTGCTGCTCAGCACCCTGATCTCTTCCACTACAGCCATCCGCTAATCCAGGAGTTAGCAATGGTGTCTCCCAATATGTGAGACCAACACCCAACATACAGTACATGGTCAACAGTTTTGAGTAACTGAACATTAATGAGTACCTGCTGGGTGCCAGACCCAGGCAAAGCTCTGGCCATGCAGTGGGAACAAGAACACATGGTTTCCATGTTCTAAAACTACGAGTTCAGGCCCTGTCCGGGTGGCTCAGTTGGTTGGAGCATTATCCCGTACACCAAAACGTTGTGGGCCTGGCCAAGGTGGCACAGTCTGGACTGGGCTTCTACAGACACCTCCAGGCCTCAGGGTCACCTCTTCAGAGACCCCACAACCTTCCTGTTCCCAGAGTCTCCATACTGCCACCTGTCTTCACACCTTGTTTGTTTCCAGCCTGGCAGGGACTGTATTGTTGTGTCAACACACTGAACCCAAAGGTCCACCTGTATTGGCCTATTGCTGCTGTAACAAATCACCACCACTTACTTGGTGGCATAAAAAACCACAAGTCTTTCTCTTCCAGTTCTGGAGGTCAGAAGTTCAACATGGTTTTTGCAGAGCTAAAATCAAGGTATCAGCAAAGTTGCATTCCTTCCCATAGGCTCCAGGGAAGAATCTGTTTCCAACCTTTTTTAGCTTCTAGAACTTGCCCACATTCCTTGGCTCTTGGCCCCTTCCTCTATCTTCACAGCCAGCAATGGCAGGTCATGTCCTTTTTTTTTTTTTAAATATATTTCTTTATTGATTTCAGAGAGGAAGGAAGAGGGAGAGAGAGACAGAAACATTAATGATGAGAGAGAATCATTGATCGGCTGCCTCCTGCACGCCCCCTACTGGGGATTGAGCCCACAACCCAGGTATGTGCCCTTGGCCAGAATCGAACCTGGGACCATTCAGTCCACAGGCTGACGCTCTATCCACTGAGCCAAACAGGCTAGGGCAGGTCATGTCCTTCTTATGTAGCATCTCTCTGAACACAGAGGGAAAGGTGTCCACTTTCTTTTTTTTGTCTCAACTTTTAAGGATCCTGTGATGACACTGGGCTCACCAGGAAATCCAGGATTGTCTCCCCATCCGAAGGTCCTTAAAATGCAAAGTGTCTATGCCATCGAAGGTGACATAGTTACAGGGTCCAGGGATTAGGATCAGATGTCTCTGGTTGAGTTGGGCTTTCTCTTACTTAGAGCATAAACATCCCATTACTGTGCATTTGTTCCCACCCCCCTCTTCCCCATGGTTCAGTCCAACTCCCAAGTCTCAATTTAAATGTCCTGTTCCTCTGAAAAGTCTTTCTTGGTCTCTCCCAGGCTGGGTCAGGTATGGCCTTGGGGTGTTCATCACAGTTCTGATCACAATCAATTGTTACTGCCAATTTTCCTGCGGGGTCGGGGGAGAGAGAAGCCTGGAATGGTAAGCAGGGGCCATGGGGAGTCAAGGCGGGGTGTTTGAGCTGGGAGTAGCAGGTAAGGCTGAGGCTGGGTCAGGGTAGAGAAGAAAGTACAAATGGAAAAGACTTTAATGGGAAGGCAGAGGCTCCCCAGAGAGGACCAGTGACTTGCTTGAGGTCACCCAGCACATGGCCTCTGGGGTGGGGAGACACGCCAGGCTAGGGAGCAGGAGGCCACTGGCAGCTGGCCTCTGTTTGGAATCCACACTGGGCTGACAATGACCTTTTGATCTGCACAGCCCAGGCCAGGGTGTCTGAGATCAGGTCTCGGCCAAGGCCGCACTGTCCAGCCCCCACACATCCTCGGTGAGAACACAGAGTTTTATCCCTGCTCCATTCCCCAACCAAGCGAGAATCTCCTCAGACTGTTAGAGGCCAAGGCCAAGTTCAGAAGCTGGGCATCTTCCCTCAGTGCCTCTGGGCAGTACCGTAACCCTTGGCCACTGGCTAGAGGATATGGGTCAGGCTGGCAGCTAAGGTGGAGGAAGAGGTCTGGACTTGGCATCTCATGGCAGAAAGTATTGAGCATGCAGAACAGGTGCTGTGCTATGAGGCCACAGGGACCCTCAATTTCCACACCTGAAGAGGAGGCAGATGCAGGAATGGGTTGTGATGAAGCAGATGTGGCCCTGGGAGATACTCAGTTGTCCTCCATTTTTAAATTTTTCCTGAAAGCATTTACCACTCTTTGAAGTTATATATCAATTTATTTGTCTATGCGTTTGATTGGCTATGGCCCCTACAAACCATGAGCTCAGTGAAGACAAGACTGGGCCTGCCTTGGTCACCCTGGTAGCCCAGCACCCTACAACAGTCCCTGCCACCAGGAGGTGGTCATTCATTATTTCTTAGAAGCACCAACACAGAGGAGCTGCACAGAACCCATGAGCACTTTGAGGGCACCCTGAACAATTTGGGAGGCCCCCAAGGTAGAAGGGATCAGCTCCAAAACAGGAAGAGGATCTGGCTGCACCAAGGCCCCTGTGGACTCACTTCCCAGGTCCACACGGATGTTGCCATCATAAACTGCGGGACACCCAAGATTCCAGGGCACAGAACCTGAGCAGAGAGGAGGGAATTCCCCTAAGACAGTAGTTATTGTGGGTGTGGCCCTGGCACACCTCTACACAGGTCTGGGAGGGGTTGCACAGTCTCCCAGGGTGTGAGGGGCCAAGAATAGGCACACAGTAGGCACTTTGGAAGTCTGATGCTATGATTATTGCAGCCAGTGATGTTGGGACCATTTGTGCCCCTGGTCTCTCCCTGCAGCCCCAGCTCCTCCCCTCCCCAAAACACTTGCTCACACCCAGCTGTGCCCACTGGCTAGAGCAGCCAGGAGCTAGGTGGTGGCCTGGGGTGTGAGTAGCCAGTCTGGGGCTGAGGTCCCCCAGTGTGGGAATGGGGCCGATAGGGATGGGAGGATCTCATATGAGCCATGCAAGTGACCACATGCAATCCACGAGGTGGTACACACTCCCCATGAGTAACCAGTTAGCTCAGCCACAGCCCTCAGCTGAAGAACCCCACACTCACGGTGACGCCTCGAACTCACACCACGATCACAATTTGGCCCCCTTGCCTTCGCTACAGCCATACGAAGGCTCCCAGGTCGGGCCACCACCCACCAGCCGCCACCCCCGGTGGCCAGGCCCAGCCCCTGCACACATCGCGCACGGCTCTGCCTCGTGCCCCGCCATTCACGCGCCCCGCCCCGGCCCGGCCCCGCCCGCGGGACCTTTATAGGGAGCGCCGGCCCGGAGCACTGGGAAGTCGGTGCCGCCGCCCTCCCTGCTGCCCGCCTGCGCGTCCCGGTCCGACGCGGGGGCCGCTGCCGCCGCTGCCGTCTCTGTGTTCGCCATGCGTCCCAGGGCGCCCGGGCCACTGTGGCCACTGCCCTGGGGGGCCCTGGCTTGGGCCGTGGGCTTCGTGGGCTCCGTAGGCTCGGGGGACCCCTCGCCCGGTGAGTGGGGTGGCCGGAAAAGGCGGGTGGGGTGGACCACCCACGTGGGCCTGCCCGGAATGCGGATGGGGGAATGTTGGGGGTCGTAGCAGCGGCTGCAGCTGGGAGGTGGAGGGCGATGACCAGAGGCCGCTGCAGATTGAATCCGGGAGGGCTTGGGGCTCCCCCTCCCCCAGCCCCAAAGGGCCTGAAAGAGGGTAATCAGGAGGTCAGAACAGATGTGACTCTCACAATTATGATTAATAGTAGTCACAAGGACTGATATTTATTGAGCACTTAGTGTCTACCTCTTACCTCCCTGAATCCATATAACAGTCCAATGGTGTGGGAACTCATCATGACTGTTTTCCAGATGGGGGAAACTGAGGTATGGGATCACAGTTTGTAAGTGGCAGAGCCAGAGCTGGAACCCGTACTATCTGGGTCCTGACACCTCAGAGAGGCAGGGCTAGGTGGCCGGACCCAGGACCTCCAGCAGGGGCTTCAGGTTTTCCCTGCGTCTGGCTTAGGCAGAGGGGTCATTAGAACATCCTACCTGCCACTCATCGGGAGGTCCACTCTTGGTCTGTTTCCCGTTTTATGAGCACCAGGTGCTGACTTCCCAGAGTTGGTCCCCGGCGGCACTCAGGACAGCACCTGGGAACCAGTGAGCTCTCTGGGATGGGGGCCATGGCTATTCCTACCCCCATTTAAGGGTGAAGAAACTGAGGCCATCTACCCCCCCACCCCCCCATACCCAGCAGCTCCACCCAGCCCTGCACGGAGGGCAGGGAGGGAGAGTGGAGCCCCCTCCCCGAAGGCCATGTCCCCGGGGAGACAGTGAGCTCATGCAAAGGGAATGTTCCCAACTTGGAGTGAGTAAGAGGCAGTCCAGGCGATGGGGGGGGGGGGGTGCAGTGCTGCAAGGAGAAGGGGGTTCTGCATGCCCTTGGGTGCTGTTTAGACAAAGGGCAGAGGCAGTAGAGGCAGCTCCAGAGCCTGCTGACCCTGACACATCCAGCTCTGGGTGTTGATTGGGCAGGATGCCAGGCCTGGGTGGGTAGGGGGGGAGATGAAGGGGGTGCGTGGATAGAGGAGAGCTTCCAGGATGGTTGGGGGTTGGCTAGGGGTTGGTGGTGGAGTAGTTGGAGGGTGAGGCTCAGGGGGGGATCTGGAGCTCCTCCTTCCCAGGTTGGGAGTAGATCACCCTCTTAGGAATTATTGAGTACCAACTGTATGCATCCCCAGGGCTGGGAGCTGGGTGGAAGGTCCAGGCTTGGGTGTCAGGAATGGTACAGGAGGGCACCTCTGGTCCCATAGGAACTGCCCTCCTGGTCCACAGGTGGTGTCTGCTGGCTCCAGCAGGGCAAAGAGGCCACCTGCAGCCTGGTGCTGAAGACCGATGTGAGCCAGGCTGAGTGTTGTGCCTCTGGCAACATTGACACCGCCTGGTCCAACTTCACCCACCCAGGGAACAAGATCAGCCTCCTGGGCTTCTTGGGCCTTGTCCACTGCCTCCCCTGCAAAGGTGAGACCCCGGGCGTCAGCCACAATCCAGGGTCACTATAGTCGAAGGTGGACCTGCTGGAAGTGAGCTCCCCGTCTCGGGGGTATGCAGGAGGAAGTTGAGGCTGCTGAGTAGAGCAGTTGTGGAGGGGATCCCGGTCTCAGCTTCCCTCAGTTGAGGATTCAGGAAAAAGCTCTGAGGACTCCCCAGCTTGGTTTCCATCCCCAAGGCCTTTACTTATCCCAAGCCCTCTGCCAGGATGGCCTTTCCCACCTGCACCCCACCTGGTGGAAGTATACTCAACTCACAACTAGCTCCTGGGAAAGTAGATTTTCCTGACGGGCCATTCTGGTTTGTGACCCCACACTCAGTGTCCCAACTATCCTTATCTGCCCTTAACCCCACAGATTCCAGGGAACTGTGGTGGACCCCAGCTGCATGTTTAGTAATCATGGGCCTTCTGGACCATGTTCTGAGAAATGCTGCCTCCTCCATCCAACAAGGAGCTCTTCAACGGCTCTCCCACACCCCTGTGGTCAGGGCTGAACCTGCAGGGACCTAGAAGGGACATGACTTGAAGGAGGTGGGCATTAGAGACAGGGTGTTGGGGAATGATTAGGAGTTTACAGCTGTAGAAAGTAGGGGGTGGGGGGAGCATCAGCAGAGACCATAGCCTGGGGTGGGGTCCTGGTGGGTGGGGTCAGGGCAGGGGAGCAGGGAGGAGGCTGGAGCTGAGGGCTGCAGACCTGAAGAAGGCCAAGCTGAGGAGCCTGGCTGAGCTCTGAGATGTGATTAATCCCAGATCAGCCTGGCTGGGTGGTCCTAAAGTCAACACCATGTACCCTGGCTCACTCTAGAACCCCCTTTGGCTTCTGGGAGGAGGACAGACTTCAAAAAAATGCCTGGCCTGGACATGAGATGGTCCAGACCCCACCCCCCATTCTGGCCTTGGGGACAGGAACTCAGCCCCCACTTCTCCCTCTTGTATGAAGCCACACAGGCAGAACATTTCCAGATGTGTATGTGGGCGGTCGGCGCCCAGGTGCAGCCCACATGCCCTGGCATGGGTAACCAATGTGGGGGTGCAGTGCATTCTCTTAGTAGTAGCATCCACTTATTTTATCCTGTAAGGTGGGTTTCCCCATCAACCCCACTCTGTACACAGGGAAACTGAGGCTAGAGTGTAAACTTGGCTCGGAGTCTGCCCTCCAGACCCACCAGCAACAGAACTGAGTTGTTGGGGTTGCGGGGAAGGGGGGGGGGTGTCCATCCAGGATCTGGCCTGGAGTTATGCTGAGGTGCTCCTGGCTCTTCTCCACGCACAGCAGTGAGGGGCCTCCGTTTTCCAAGCAGCATGACCTCGTACAGTGGTTGGGAGGCTGCAATGAGCCTGGGAGAGCCTGAGAGGCAGGAGCAGCCATTAGTGGGGTCTGATTTGCATTTCCAAAGGACCGGGGCCTGAGTAGGGGCAGGGACCCAAGAGGCAGACTTCCCCTGGTCAGACCTGTTTCCCTACCTGAGAAATGGGGCTGCAAGGAGTGGGTAACTCCCAGTGCAGAGGCCCGCTCCCCAGGAAGTGAGCCTCATGCCAGGCGCCAACGCCCCGCCCTCCCTGTCCCCTCCTCTGGGGAGGTTCTGGCAGGCATGGGGCAAGGACACTGCCTGGATGGGGTGGAGCCCCCCACCCTACCCCCGGGCTGACGCAGCAGGGCCTCCCGCCGGCCTGCCCAGAAACGCGAGTCGAGTCAGGGAACAGACGTCAGTAGCTCGGGCTGGACCCCAAGATTGGGGCAGAGACGCCCTTCCCGCCCACACTGAGCCCCGCCTCCAGACACAGCCCCCAGCCCCAGGCGTCCACCAGGACAGTGGCTGAATCTCTCCCACATCCGACCCGCACCCCGACCCCGAACCACTATCCTCGCCGTGCGCCCCGACTTCGGACAGCCCCCCACTCCGGCCCGGCCGCTAGCCCTCAGAAAAGGGGGCGAGGCGCCGTGGACTCAGAAGACCTCTGGCCACGGCCACGAGCCCCAGCCCACGGGCGCACGTCCTGTGTCCGCAGATTCGTGCGAGGGCGTGGAGTGCGGCCCCGGCAAGGCGTGCCGCATGCTGGGGGGCCGCCCGCGCTGCGAGTGCACCCCGGACTGCGAGGAGCTCCCGGCGCGCCTACAGGTCTGCGGCTCCGACGGCGCCACCTACCGTGACGAGTGTGAACTGCGCGCAGCGCGCTGCCGCGGCCACCCAGACCTGCGCGTCATGTACAGGGGCCGCTGCCCGCAGTACGTTGGGGCGGGGCCTGCTGGGGGTGGAGCCACCGGACGGGCGCCTCAGTCCCCGGGCCGCAGTGCGGGGGGCGGGGCCTGCGGGAGGGCGGGGCCTCCGGTGCGTCGTGCCTAGCGGTGTAGGTATAGGTCTTGAGGGTTGGGGCCGGGCTTATGGTGGGCGGGGCCTAGGTGGCGAGGTCGTGGGCGGAGTCTAATGAAGGGAGTCTTTATGCTGCTGGGAGAGCGTCAGTGGATTGGGTCTTTTGTGGGATCGAGAATAAGGAGGAGTAGGGTGGAAGTTTGGAAAGGGGTTCCGGGGCTCCCGTGGGGTGAGAAGTATGGGTGCGTGACTCAGGGGCTTGAGGGTGCAATAAGAGGGGACGGGGCTTGAGGGTGGATTTGGGCTGTGGGCGGGGTCTCGTTGAAGGGGTGTGGCTTCTGCTACACCCGAGGAGGCGGGGCCTGAGGGTGCCCTCAGTGTTGTGGGCGGGGTTCGTCCTCCAGGTGGCGCCCCTGACCCACCCTGGCGCCCTATCCACAGAGTCCTGCGCGCACGTGGTGTGCCAGCGGCCACAGTCGTGCGTGGTGGACCAGACAGGCAGTGCCCACTGCGTGATGTGTCGCGCTGCGCCCTGCCCCGCGCCCTCCAGCCCTGGCCAGGAACTCTGCGGCAACAACAACGTCACCTACATGTCTTCGTGCCACCTCCGCCAGGCCACCTGCTTCCTGGGCCGTTCCATTGGCGTGCGGCACCCGGGCAGCTGCGCAGGTGCGGGGCGAAGCGGGGAGCAGTGGTGGGCTGTAGGCCCCAGCCCCTCTCCGTACCCCCATTTCTCTGTTCGTCCCTCCCACTCAGCAGGCACCCCTGAGCCAGCAGATGTTGAGTCGGAGGAAGAAGAGGAGAACTTTGTGTGACTTAACAGGGTGGCCTGGGCCTGGCGTTCAAGGCCTCCCCCATTTTATTTATTGCCAGAGCAAAGCCTAATTTATGTCCCATGGACACTCCCCAGAGCCAGGACCGGACCACTTGCCGGAGCCCTGGACCCTTCCCCCCAGCCATATCTTGGAAGAATTGGTGGGAGGAGGCCTGGGAGCAGTGCTGGTAGGGGAACCCTCCACCCCAAACACCCTACTACTGTTCAAGAGGACCCTGCTTCTGTTCCCTCGGGAATAACTATTAATTATCACTGCCACTGAGAGGGCTGAGAGTTCTCTGCCAGCAATTAATGAAAAGGCACCCTAGCCTTCTAGAACAGGAACCAAGGGATGGGGAGGGGTCCACAACCTGGGTGCATATACATAAACTTCAGGACATGCTCAGAACCCCGGACAGGCCAAGGAAGCAGTCTGTCCCCTACCAACCCAAGTATTCAGGGCTTTCCTTCCCCACTGCCTCCACGTACCCAGTAGGTCCTATAAAGGCCCCTGAGAAAAGCCCAGCTTATCCCCTGGTCAGGGAGGCACTGTCCGTGCCTTCTGACACAGGCCTCGGCTCAGCATTAGCTCAGAACAGGGCCCAATCCACTTCGGGTGAGATCTCCTGGAGCCCAGGAGCCCCTACTCATCCGGTGGGATATAGACACCAAGGCCCACTGCACACCTGGCCTCCTGGAGCTACGTGTCTGAACAGCACCCCTAGTGCCTGCTGACCCGTCCACAGGTGAGGTCCAGACACAGGACCCCTTGGTATCATGAGGCCCACCCTTGGGTCTCTAGGCCCAGTTCCTAGGTGAACCCTCTTTGCCCACCAGCTAGGCTCAGGGGTCTCAACTCCAGCCTAGGGCCAATTCCCTGCATTCCTAGGCTGTCACTCAATGCCACCTCCTTGTGCCTTTGTGTAGACCAGAGGCTCAGACCCGATACGGGAATTCAGCTCCTCAAGTTTGGGGCAAGGAGCTCAGGGGGCAGTGTGCCCACCCTCTCCCAGCCCCCAGGAAGTGCCTTACCTATGTCACCCAGAAAAGTGTCCTTGAGTAGGTGAGTTTGCCCAAGCCACCCAATAAGGCAATTTTCCCCACCCTGGGGTCCTGCCTCACCAAAGAAATAAAGATTGTAAAAAGCCACCTTGGGGTCAATTCCTGGTCTACTCTCTCTCTGAGCCTCTGTGCTGCCCACTTTGGTAGAGGGTTACTAGTCTGGAGCCTGGGTTACTATTAGGGTAGTAAGTGGGGGCTCTAGACGCATCTGGAAGAGCATGAGCATATGTCCTTGGGGCAGCCACTGTCCATCTTGGCCTCAGTGTCTAGCTCTGGGCAGTGGGCAGCACCCAGGGAGAGGGCTGAGACAGGTAGGGTGGTGGTGGGAGTGGGTGGAAGAGAAAGGCGACCAAGCAAGTGGCTCAGGGAGGAAGTGGCTCATCTGGACCCTCAGCCACTCTGAGGCCAAAAAGAAACTCAAGGGATGTGGGACCATCATGTCTAGTTGTCAGTTAACATTTTATTCAGATATTCTGGCCCTTTTTGTTTGGAATTTATGCCCACCCACCCGCCAAGCTCCCTGGAAGGTTCTGTGGACCCCCTGCCCCAGCCACAGAATCTTCCAGGCCAGAACTGTTTGCATTGGTTGTCATCTCATTTGGGTACACCGTGCTGCTGTGGTTCAGGAAGCTCCTGTGGGGGCTCCCGTGGTCCTGGGTGAGGAGCTGAGTTGGGGGCTGTGGGGTCGCTGCCGAACCACACCCCAGATCCAGGTCACGAAAGCAGACACCTGTGTGTATACATCTGGGGTCTTGGGGTCGCCACACCAGAGGCCAGAGAAGGAAACGAGGCCATGGGCCAGGTTCCTGCACACCAGGGGCCCCCCGGAGTCCGCCTGGGGGATGAAGGGAAAGGTGAGGTCAGGGGTTCTTCTCTCAGCCTCACTTTGCTTGAAGGAGCTTCTACATGTAACGCCCACCAGGACCCTTTCCTGCCCTCAGAATCCTTCCACGACCCCCGAGTGCTCTTACAGCAAAGGCTAAACCCTCACCTCAGCCTTCAAGACCCTGAGGATCCTACCCACATCTCTCTCCCTCACTCATCTGGTTCCAGCCACACCAGCCTTCCTGGCTCTTCCTAGAGCAAGCCAAGCTTCATCAGCCACTAAGCTTCCGCGTGTCTTTGAGACCTGTTACTGTCCCCTACTGGACACTGCTTGTATAAACATAGAATTCTGCAGCTGTTTGTGCAGTACAGACCTGAACAGCTGTGCATGGCAGCCCTGTGACTGTCTCTCTGCCTGTCATGCCTTCCCTCAGATCTTAAGGCTCCTTCAAGTCTCAGCTCTAAGGTGCTCTCCTCAGAGAAGCCTTCCTGAATAGTCACCCTAAAACTCCTGCTTCTTCCCTTCCCCTCCCCTCCTGGTCCTAGCACCCTAATTGTCTGCTCCTCTGAGTGGCAGTTCTATATAGATGGAGAAGATGGAGTGAGTTCCAGAGACGTGAGGCGACTTTTCCAAGGCCTGGAAAGTGGCACAGTCTGGACTTGGGCCCAGGCAGTTGGGCTCCAGAACCTGTGTTCTGAACCCTTGGACTCTCTTGCCTAAAACAAAAGATCCTCCAGGCTGAGTTTCTTCCTCTGCACCAGGGCCAGGGTATTAGGAGCAGGAGCTCCTTCCTGGAGATCTGTTCCCGCCTGTACTGGATACTGTTTATAAATACACAAATCTGTAGCTCTTTGTGCACGGCACAGCCATACATGGTCTGGTCTAGGGTAAGCTGGACTTGGTTCCCAAGGCTCTGCCCAGCTCTGACCCTTCTCTGTGGGCCTTGGTCCCCTCATGTGGTAAGTGGGAGGGACGGACAATGAATATCTTACCGAGCAGAAGCCTCGCCGCCGTCGGTCCCCACTCTGGGTGCAGACCATGGTAGGGCTGAGCTGGCCCTTCCAGGAGCTATTGCAGACGTCCAGGCCCAGCACGCGGACCTCGGCCTCCATCAGCCCGGGTGGCAAGTCCTCAAAGTTGGACACAGAGCCCCAGCCGGCCACATGGCACCTCGTCCCGGCCCTGGGTGGCTTGGTGCCCCTTTGGGGCAGCCTCAGCAGCCCCACTGCAGGACCCAGGACGGCAGAGCTGTTCAGCTACGGGGAGAACACCGAGTTTTGGACCACCCAAACCATCACCACTGCTCCTGCCTCAGTTTACCCACCTGTGACACCTGATCTCTTGGCCTTATGGAGAGAAAGCAATGGCTGTCAGAAGGCCCACTGCTTTTGCCACCACATGCCCCCTGTCCATCCGCCCTTACCCACTCAACCCAAATGGTCTTTCTAAACAGCATCTCCTTCCCTGCTCTAAGCCCTCCCATTGCTCCTATTGCCCTTGGAATAAAATGCTTGCCCCCATTAATTCCCCCCTCTAGCCAGAATGAATTTACTGCCATGTCCTGGGCCCACCCCCACACTTTTGCTCATACTGTACCCCCCACCTGGAGCACCTTTCCTATCCAACTTTCAGGTCTCAGCTTAGACACCACCTTCACCAGGAAGCTCTCCAAGACTCCCAGGCTAGGGCAGGTGCCTCCTCTGGGCAACCACGTGCCCCTGTCATGGCCAGTTTACCCAGCTGCCACCCGGTTAGACTGAAGGCTTTAAGGGGGTCAGCCCCATGGCTTGTTCCTGGCTGTGTCCCCGCTGACCGGCACACAGCTGGCACTCAATCAACAGTTTTGGAATGAATGACGTGGGCCCCTAATTTTGGTACACACCCCCTGACCTTGGGCACATCCCTGACCACCCCAACCTCAGTTTCCCCATCTGCACAATGGGATGGCTGAGTCAGAGCAGTGGGTTCCAAGCTTTGGGGTTCCACAGGTGAGTAAAATCCAGGCGTTGGCTGCTGACATCCACTGCCCCCCTTTTTATTTGCCAAGAGAACCCCATACCCTTGACCTTCCTGTTCCCAGGGACCCATTCAGTCATATTGAGTATCTCCCCCTTTTATTTTTCAACACATTTGGAGGGCAAGTTTGGGGCATCCTCCCTTGGAAACAGAGGCCCTGGGGGTTCCTGGAGTTGAATTTGGGGTGCCTGGGTGGGAACTGCAGGGGGTAGTTGTAAAGGACACACCTCATGGGGAAGCAGAGGGAAATTCACATTTATGGGTGAAGCCACTTACTGGCCAGAAAACCCCAAGAAGGGCCCAAGTAGCAGGGAATTGAGGTCTTTCGTGGCCCTGGTGCCCCATTTGTTCCCCCTACCAGCCCGAACATTGAGCACCTGCTGTGAGCCATAAACGGTCATAAACGAGGCAAAAATCCCTGCCCTCAGGTCCAGAGGAGGCAGTGAACAATGGTGAAGTAGCAAATGTGCAGGTGCTGCTAGCAGGTGACAGTCGTGCTGGACATAAGACAGGTGGAACAGGGAGCAGGGACAGCAGGACAGGGGCAGGTTGCAGGATGAGGGGGTCATCCAGGAAGGTCTCCTGAGAAGGGGACATTTGAGCAAAGACTTCACCTGACTCAGGTGTTTCAGGATCCTTCAGCTATTTTAAAACAGGTTCAGTCATCACGGGAGTAGCGGGGACAGGTCAGACTTACATCCAGTGTTCCTCCCCAAGAAGCTCACCTGCAGCAGGCAGATGTCATTGGCGTGGGTTGCGGGCTGGTAGTCAGGGTGCCTGATGACAGCTGAGACGCTGAACACCTGCTGGGTGGGCTCCGAGGTGCGAATGTTGTGAGCTCCCAGCACCACCCGGACTGTTCGTGGGTCTCTGCAGTGGGGAGGGGTATAGTGAGGGAGACCGGGGTAAGGCTGCCTATCACAGGCTTTGGTAGCCCCATTGGCAAAACTGGTGCACAGCAACCCATTTAACCTTGATGTCAACCCTGTGATAATAATCATGTTTGTTTCATTCCCACCTCAATTACAGTATTAACGCTAATATTGCAATACTAATTCTAATAACTAAGCCATATTTAGGAGGAATTGAATATTTTTATATTTATTATAATTCCCACCTCAATTATAACATTATCTCTGAGGAGGTTCAGAACATGCCTCCCCAAGATGTGAATCAATAAAATATATTTTTTAAAAAAATTGATTTCAGAGAGAGGAAGGGAGAGGGAGAGAGAGAAACATCAATGATGAGAGAGAATCATTGATCGACTGCCTCCTGCACACCCCCTACTGGATATTGAGGCTGTAACCCAGACATGTGCCTGACTGGGGATCCAACCATGACCTCCTGGTTCATAGATCGAAGCTCAACCACTAAGCCACACTGGCCAGGCTGACATGTGGATTATTTTGAGCTGAAGGCCATCAAGACCCTCTGGGCTCAAAGAAACTTCTACGTCTTGCTTAACCACCTACATGAGTCTAAATTGGGGGCCTGGCCCATAATGAGAGTTACCACCAAAGATAACGTTTTATGACCTATCTAGAGGGCAGGGCAAGCTTCTAATTACCGAAGGTCTTGAGGATGACCCTTCTTCCCTCTGATGCCGCATCCCTAGCTCAGGTGACATAGACACCTCATCTGTCCTTTCTGTTCCTGAACCTCTCATGGATGTGGGGTCTCTGACTCCCTCATGTAGGTGGGTCATCCACATGTATGTCTGCATTAAATTTGGTTATTTTCCTTTGTTAATCTGTCTCATGTAGATTTAATTATCAGGCCATCTGGAAGAACCTAGAAAGGTGGAGGAAATTTTCTTTTTTCAATAATTTCAATATTAATGTGATTAATTACTAGGGGTCCGGTGCACGGATTCGTGCACTGGTGGGGTCCTCGGTGTGGGCTGTGGGGATTGTGCTGAAACTGACAGTCCAACGCCACCTGCCGCTCCTGCCTGCCCACTCCCACTCATCCTGGCCCCGCATGCCTGCCACCGGCTCAAGCCCAGTCAGTCCCCATCCGTGAGCCCTGCTTCTGGCACCCCTGGGTCAGCTGAGTGGCGCTCCCATTGTGGGAGCACACTGACCACCAGGGGGCAGCTCCTGCATTGAGCGTCTGCCCCCTGGTGGTCAGTGCATATCATAGCGACCAGGCGACAGGTCGTTTGGTCGCTTAGGCTTTTATATATATAGATAGATTATAAACCAAGCACAGTGATGATAACATCTACTTATTATCATGGAGGTTCCTTGACAAGGTGGGGGTAGCCCCACCTTTTCCCCTTTGTTGTCCCATAAAGCTGGCCCCAGAGATGCCTCCTCCTGCAAGAGACCGCCAGGGAAGGGGGTGGGGTCTGGCGATCCCAACCCTGCCCCCCACCTGGAATGTAGCAATGCCCACACCAGGAACACCCCTCACCACTCCCACCCCTGAAATATAGCCAGAGCATTCTGGGGTCCCCAGTGGCAGCAAGCAGGAGGAGGGCCCCCAGGTGGGCTCACCTGTCGATGAGGCAGTGGGCAGCTGAGACCACCCAGCGGGCACGGAGCAGGAAGCCACCGCAGTGATGCTGGCCCTCAAAGCTCACCGATGCCATGTAGGGACGGGAGTGCGGGGTCACCTCTCGGCCCCCAATGATCCTAGCCCCCCAGGAGCCTGCAGAGGGGAGGAGGGGTATGTTGGGACGGGCAGAAGATGGGTTAATGGGGGCAGCTTAGGCACTGGACGGGATGGGGGTCGAGTTGAGGGAGAAAGAGTCAGAGATAGAGAGAGACAGAGATAGAAAGAGAGACGCAGAAGGACACAGAGTGAGTGACAAGGAGCCCAGAGAAGGCCCTTGAATGTGCCAGGAGGAGGACTGGACCCCAGAAAACTTGGGCCTGCGCCTGCACCTGCGCCTGGTCAAGATCCCAGCTGGGCCTCCCCCCCCATTGCCTGGTGAGGCCCTAGAGGGAGAGCAGCCAGGGGTTGTAGCTGAACCAAGTCAGGGCCCGTGTGTGGGGTACCTCAGCATTTTCTGGGGTGGGGCCTGGGAGGGGCCCTTGGGTTGCCTGGGGAGTTCCTGATGGGGCCTCTATATGGGGACTCCTGGGGGTCCTTACCTGGAAGCCTCATGGACATCATCAGAGCAGTGGCCATAGTCAGCAAAAGTTGGTCCCAGCCCTCTGCCCCAGGCCCCATGGCCCCAGACTTCTCAAGGCTGAAGTCTCCCTGAGAGCTTTGAGGACCAAGGCACCTACCCTCACCCAACGGCCTGGAAAGGGGGAACTCAGCTGTGGTCTGTGGTTGGAGGCCCCTTCAGGCCCCACCAGCAACGCTCAGATCTGAGCTGGTGATACTGGGAAACTGATGATTTGACGGCCTTGGGGTCGTTGATCATAATTGCACAGGAGGAAACAGCAGTGGGGGGAGCAGGGGGCTGCCTGCCCAGGCAAACCCTGGCTCCACCAGTCCCTGGTACCCTGGAGGTCACTTACCCTCTCTGTGCTTCAGTTTATCCAGCAGCTGTCCCCAGACCTTGGTCAGTTCCCCCAACCACACACCGTTGAGGGGGTTGGTATAAGCATCACTGAAGCTGCAGGTGTGTGCAACCTCATTTAGTTCTGGAGTGACCCGAGGATGTCGGTATTGTTTCTATCCCCATGCTACAGATGGGGAAACTGAGGCACAGAGAGGGAGTGAGAGGCCAGGGTTGCAGCCTCAGGACAGCTCCTATTGCTCCTGCCAGGGGCCAGTTCTACCCACAGCCAGGCCCATTTCCTTCCCATCTGACGAGCAGTTGTGAAACAGACAACTGTCCTTCATGGTCCCCACTAACCAAGTTCCCAGAAGCCCTGCAAAATGGGCTGGATGGGGGTCGATATTTCCATTTTCCAACCTGAGGTGCAGAGAGGGGAGTCTGGTTTGTTTGGGGCTGCATGGAAGGTGGTCGTGAGCCCAGAACTCTTGGGCTATAGTCCTTGACTGTTCTTCCCATGGAGGACTTGGGTGGCTTTCCCAGTCAGAGCAGACGCAACAACAGTGACAATGATGATAACAATAATAATGATAATAACAGCGCCCTTTACTAAATACTTACTTTTATTATTTATTTTCTTAAAAATATATTTTATTGATTTTTTACAGAGTAGAAGGGAGAGGGATAGAGAGTTAGAAACATCGATGAGAGAGAACCATCGATCAGCTGCCTCCTGCACGTCCTCCACTGGGGATGTGCCGGCAACCAGGGTACATGCCCTTGACCGGAATCAAACCCGGGACCCTTGAGTCCGCAGGCCGACGCTCTATCCACTGAGCCAAACCAGTTCGGCGCTTTTATTATTTTTTTATAAAAAACATTTTTATTGATTTCAGAGAGGAAAGGAGAGGGAGAAAGAGATAGAAACATCAATGATGAGAGAGAACCATTGATTGGCCACCTCCTACATGCCCCCTACTGTGGATCGAGCCTGCAACCTGGGCATGTGCACTTAACCGGAATGAACCCGGGACCCTTCAGTCTGCAGGCCGATGCTCTATCCACTGAGCCAAACCAGCTAGGGCCCTACTTTTATTATTAATTTGTTAGAGCTCTTTATATGTTGAGGAGATTGACTCATGGTCATATTAATTTCTTTTCTGAGAATTCCCAGGTGCAGAGGACACAAGCCCTCCTGGGGAGTGAGTGTGGGTTCTGCTGATCTGTAGCTGGACCAATGCTGAACCAGCCAGAGCTGGGTAGCCCCATCAGGTCCCCATCCCCCTTACCTGTGAAGGCCGGGGACCCCAGGGCCATGGACCAGGCCAGGAAGACAGCAGGAGTCGAGGCTCTGGCATGCTGCTCTGTAAAGGGCCTGACCTAGCTGGGCCCGAGGTTTGGGGTTATACAGCTGGGGTGGGGAAGCTCGAGCCCCTTTTTTTCTGGGATACAGTCCCTCTCATGTTTAGCTTACATCTCCTTGGCCCCTTCTGGGTGGGAGACACAGGCCTGAGCTGAAGTCAGGGCTAGGGGGAGGGAAAGGGATCTCTGACTCAGGGATAGAGGAGGAGTGGGCTTTGGGGGCCTGCACAGAGCCCAGTGAGAAACTTCCCCTGGAGTCCAAGGGCCCCAGAGGATGTCCCGGAGCAGCCAAGCTGTGAGGTGGGTTCAAAGCAGGGGCAGGGGTGCTGGGCAGAGGTGGCGAAGGAGGCGGAAGGAGAAGAGGCATCATCATGGCAATCATGGTTGCAAGTGGTACAGGAAGGGGGCGTGGCCCCAGAGGGATGGGAGCTGCAGCACACCGAGCAGAGAGGATTGAGGACTGGGTGATGTGGCCGCCTCTCTGGAGGGTGAAAGGTCGACTCAAGCCCAGTGCGCTAGTTCAGGACACACTCTGCCTTGTCCCATCTTTTGGGGGGCTGTCCCTGCTACTTGGGATGCTTCTCCCCCCCATCTCTGCCTGACTTGATTTCCCCAGCTCATGTGTCACTATCTCTAGGAAGCCACTGCCTGCATGCCTGAGTCTGGGGTGTGGGTGTTGGGGTCTTGGGGCTCCCAGGCAGGGCCTTGAGAGTTGTGGGAAGGAATCTGACTTTTGATGTAAGGGAGGTGGGAGCCCTGGAAAGTTTAAGGCTGAGAAAGGTGGATATGTTTTGTGGGAGGGGAGATGCTGCCAACAGTCCCTCTCCATCCTCCTATTTTCTTTCTTTTAAAAAAATGTTTGTATTGATTTCAGAGAGGAAGGGAGAGAGAGCTAGAAACCTCAGTGATGCGAGAGAATCATTGATCTGCTGCTTCTTGCACGCCCCCTACTGGGCAACCCAGGCATGTGCCCTAACCTTGACCTCCTGGTTCATAGGTCAATGCTCAACCACGGAGCCACACCTGACCGGCTTCTTTTTTAAAAAAATACTTCATGAATTTACTTGTCATCCTTGCACAGGGGCCATGCTAATTTTCTCTGTATCCTTCCAATTTTAGTATATGTGTTGCCAAAGCCAGCACTCTTCTTCCTATTTTTAAACAAAATGCATCCAGCATCCCTAAAACCTTGAATCATTTACTTAGTAGACCAAAAAATGCCATTTCTCTGAGGATAAGATTCCTGCATATCTGGCACCTAACACTGCTGGGTGCACAGTAGGTGCTCAATAAATCTTTTGGACTGAATGAACACAGAGACAGAGGGGCAGCAATGGGATTACTCACAGCTTCCTTTTGCTGAGCAATACATGTACTAAATATTGCCTCTGGCTGCTTTCATGTTGCAATGGAAGACCTGCGGCTGCAATGCTGAAAATATTTATTATCTGGCCCTTTATAGGAATAGTTTGCCAAACCCTGCGCTACTGTGTGCTGGACCCTGTTCCAAGCCTTTCCTGTGTATTCACTGTTAACCCTCCCAGCTGCCGTAGGAGATGGAGAAATTGTGGGGAGCCGATATAGGGTTAAGCCTCGGACTGACCTGTTGGCAAAGTCACAAACAGGTCTTCCGAGTCTTAAACAACCCAATCTGAGAGGTGGCCGCTGATTTACACGCGCTGTCATTTAAAAAATAAAAATGGGGGAATTTGCCGGAAGCCGGTCCACCCTTGCTGCTGACACAGTCGCTGCAGGGAAGAAACATCTGCACAGCTTATGTTTCAAGGGACCTGGTGTACATGGCATATGTTTGCTCCCCCTCTTAGCGCTATGTGTTTTAAACAGGACCACCTCCCCGAGAAAGGTTGTTTCCCCAGGTGAGGATTTTTCCATTGAGTTAGGGATTAACAGGACTAAGGAAGAGAATAAATCAGTGAAACCCCCTAGTATTACAGAAATACCATGTACTATGAACTATGGTAGCAATCATCTCAGGTAGAAACTGTAGTTTAACTTTAACCCTACTGTTTGGCTTTTGTACTTATTTGCTTTGTTTAACAATAGAAAAGTTACTTTGATTTTCTGAATTGTATAAATCATCCCATTCGATTAAATGCCTTATTGATTGTATTGTGAATATCCCATGGGTTGTGGTCATACTGGTCTTAGAAAGCACATTTTCCTTTACCTGGGAAGGACAGCACAGTTATCCCAAGGTCAGAGGGCTCCAGTTAACGTGTCCTTGTTGACTCAGTGTTCCAGAGACCCAAAACTGTAATTTAGATAACATGCCTAAGTTTAACCCAGGTTCCTCATTGCAGACCTGAGGGCTCCAGATAATGTGTTTCTGTCAATTCAGTGACCCCCAAGAGCCAAAACTATAATTAACATGCTGCTTCTGCTTCTGTAAACTGCTTTTTTGCAAACCAGGGTCCTCATTCCAAACCTTGAGATGTAATCAATACCTTTGTGACCTTTGCCTATGTCAGTCTGGCTTTGCCACCATCTTGTTACTATGAGATTTGGGAAAGCAAAATGGACCCTCATAGCCCCGGATTGCAATAAATGTGACTCTTTAATTCGACTTCTTGAGGCATCCTTCTGTGATTCACGGGGTACCTTACAACAACTACTTATGAAGAACTTGGACTAAGACTGTTGGCAATAAATTTGGGACTTGTTGGGCCCACATCCCCAGGGGTCTGCCCACCAGGGAAAGCACCAAAGCCTATACCCCTGGAGACCCACCGACACAGGGCAGTCCCAGGGAAGGCAAGCAGCGGGGCTGGGAGGACATAACCTTTACTGGGTAGGATAATCTCCTCCAGTCACTTCCTTGTAGCTTATCAGTAGAGCAGTGACCTTGGAATAGCCCTTATAATGAAACACAGAGATTAACCTAGACAAGATTAAAATAAACAGAACTAGATAGAGACAGGATTTTTGGTAAAGGTCAGATAAGAAACTATGGAAATAAGGCAAGGAACTGTAGAAGGTTACCCAAAACATACCATGATGTTATTATAGAGCAGTGATGGCGAACCTATGACACGCGTGTCAGAGGTGACAAGAGAACTCATATTTTTGGTTGATTTTTCTTTGTCAAATGGCATTTAAGTATATAAAATAAATATCAAAAATATAAGTCTTTGTTTTACTATGGTTGCAAATATCAAAAAATTTCTATATGTGACACGGCACCAGAGTTAAGTTAGGGTTTTTTAAAATGCTGACACGCTGAGCTCAAAAGGTTCGCCATCACTGTTATAGAGGCATGCTTATAGGATCAAATGGTATAAATACAGATGTAACAGGACAATACAGGGAGAACCTTGATATGTTGATCAACTGAACGCTGCCTCCGTGTCCTTCTTCACCGACTCCGTCCACACCTTTGGGAATCCCTGGACCTGCTGGGGCTGAACCCCAACAAGAAATGAGGTTCAGAGAGGTTAAGAAACAGACCCAGGGTCACAAAGCACATGAGGCTCTGAGCTGGGACTCAAGCCCAGGGCCCCTGATGTTTCTCTGCGTCTTTTTTTTTTTTAAGTTTGCTAATTTATCTCATTTTTTAAAAAAATAAATGAATGCACATTCATTGTAAAAAGGGGGAGATGAAAAGGTCTGTAAACAAAGAGGTGGCAGTGTCCCTGTCCCCTCTGGGGGGATCCTGATGCTTCTCTAGGGCCCATCCAAAGCTATTTCCCTTTGCACACACATCCGTTTATTAAGCACCTGCTGAGTAGAACTATTTTACTTACAAGAAAATAGTTTAGAAGGGTTTTAGAAGAATCTCTCTTCCCTGCCCTCCCCGCAGCCAGACCAAAGTAAGTAAGTGTGTTTGGGGCCAGGGGACTAGAGTTCTTATAAGAACCTGGGAAGTCATGGCCACAGTCTACATGTTGGCAGTGACTGGTACTGTCTCTTTCCTAGTCTGTGGGATTCACACGGTGACACATGCAGCATGACGGACTCAAGATAGCCTGCAAGGAATCAAGGGGAAGGCAGGGGAACTGGTTGCCTCTGTCTTCTGCCTGTGCCTGCTTCTCACATGATCTTGTCTAGACTTCCCCTAGCTCAGCCCGGGCCTCACCCTAAACCTGGACGGCCAGCTGCCCACCCAATGTCACCCTTTGTTGCCCCCCCCAACCCCATCATGTTAACATGTCCCTTCCAGTGGCTCAATCTGGAAATGGGGAGACCCCAATGCCTGTCATCCCACAACCCGTCAGTAGCAATCCTGTCAGCTCTCCCTTCAAGATCCGTCCACAATCCACCTGCCTCTCAATCTTATTCAGCCTGAGGGGGGTCCCAGTTCAGCCTCTGCCAGGCCTCCAAGCCTCTCCGCTTTGCCCTTGTTAATTCACTCCCCACCTGGCAGCCAGAGGGGCCATCACAAAAATAAGTCAGGTTGGTCCCTCTCCTGCTTTAAACTCTGCTGTGGCTCCCTAGGGCTTGCAGGACAAAGCCTGAGCTCTCCTTGCTCCCTCCTCTAGCCACCTCACTCATTTTGGCCACAGAGGCCTGCAGTGTGTGCCGTGAGAGCTGAGGCAGATTTAAATCATTTACCCTCCTCCAACTCCAACTCCAGGACCAGCGCCCAGCAAGTGCTCAGAAGCTTAAGGAATTGCTGTGTTATTATCATTCCTCCCCAGCCAGGCCTGGCTTGGTCCCACGGCCCCGCCTTTGCACTTGCAGTGCCCTCTCCACCTGAACGCTCCTCTTCCAGACCGCCAGGTTGCAGCAGAGGCGTCAGCTCCTCGGAGCGGCCTCCGGACTTCCCCCGGGGCCCACTGGTCCTTTGCCCCCTGCCCCCCCCCCCCTCCCCTGCTTCCCTTCTGGAACGGGCGCTGGGAGGGACAGGATTTTGTCCAGGTCAATCTAGGGCTAGCGCACAGACCCAGCCTGGCCGCCAGCACCGAACCCTAGGACAAGGGATGGATGACTCCGGGCGGGGGGTGGAGCGCAGCTCCAGGGAGGTGCCGGGCCAGGCCCACGGCCGGCGGGGAGGCTGCGGGCACAGCCCGCGCGCGGGGACGGGGGCGCTGCGGCAGACGCCGGCGGCCGGCAGGAGGCGCAGCGCCGACCGCGGC